GAGAGAGAGAGAGAGAGAGAGAGAGAGAGAGAGAGAGAGAGAGAGAGAGAGAGAGAGATGGCATATGTTTGAATGACAGTTCCTTCAGCCTATGCTGCCGGCATGTTTGTATCTGTTGAGTTTCTCCTGAGTGCCCTAGCATGGAGCTCTTCTTTGCAAGCTCCTGTCATTGTTGATCCTGGGAGGAATAGGTACCTGAAGTATGAGGTGTAGGTGAGCTAATGTAAGAGCTCCTGTCATTGTTGATCCTGGGAGGAGCAGGTACCTGAATTACGAGGTGTAGGTGAGCTAATGTAGGTAGATGTGTTCTTGCTTTAGCAGAGCAGAGTAGTTTAGGTAGAACATCTATAGCTTTCCTCTTGTGGATGTCGAGGTGTATGTGCTGGGGAGGATAGTCTTCTGCTTGTGGATGTTGAGCTGTATGTGCTTGCGAGGAGGTGGACAGCCGTTGTTGGCCGACCAGTTGACAGGGATTCAGAGGTCACATTTTGGAGGTCCATTTCGTCCTCGCAGCACCTCTGTTTTCCGGGGATTTCGTGGTCTTTCTGATTCATCTCCTGCTGCTCTGTCCTGTCTATTCTATCTTCTCCTTGCTGGCTCATATACTTGGTGGAGGCCACTTCGCCGTGCTGTTGTGTTGGCCCCCTCTCATCAACTTTGTGCTGATCTTCTGGTTATTCCTCGCCAAGTGCTCGTCGCTGGATCAGCGGAGATGCGGAAGTCGAGGCATCAGGGTTGTGTGAGCAGGTTCTGCGATGGCGTACCGTTACGCGAGGTAGATCTTCTCAAACATCCACTGTTTTCTTGCTGTCTGAAATGAGGGCCTCGTTAGTTGGAGAGAATTGCTGTTGCCATTGCATTATGTTTTCTAAGCTGGTAGGGTACAGAGGGTGCTGTTCGCTGCTGTTTTAGGGACACAGAGGCGAAGGAGCAAAAGCGGTTGTTGTAGCATGATATGACAATTTGCGGAAAGAATAGGTTGGTTGCTTTCTGGGTTTTATAGAAATTTCTCGTTTCAGGGTGTGATCAATTTGTTTGCGTCTGTTTCATTACATCTATGTTTTCAGTCTATGTCGCGAGGATTTTCCGTTAAATTGGATTCCATCATTTCAGTTCTTAAATGTGGGCGGGGTTCGGTGGGGTGAGGGGGCGTGCGGAAGGGGATCAAGAGTCGGGGTGGAGGGGGGAAAATGATGAGGTGCAGGTGAAAGGGGAGAAACGGCTGGCAGGCGAGTTATCTCCTGAAGTTTGGATGCAGGTACGTTTGCTGCATGAGGTGGGATGAAGATAAGGCCTGGGGACATTCCGGGCCGGGCCTTATCGGACTATGTTCTGAAAGCGGGGGGTTGTTTGCGATCTCGAGTCAAATGTTCCAAGTTAATTATGGCCGTTAGGTTTCCCTGTGACAGGGCGAAGAACTAGACGTAGTCCAGCAGGGGCTGGGCTGTATGAATCTAGTCCAATACAGGTCAGGTGCATCAGAATGCATCGTAACCAACAACTGACTGCTATGGCCCGCCAGGCTCTGTTGAATTAAGGGTTCAAATGCCAGGGCAATCAAGAACTGACGGCTATGGCCCACCACCAGGCTATGTTGATAAGAATTTAACACGGAGGAGGAGGATGAAAAGGAGGGAGTAGTGGGGTGATTGGTTGGGGATCGGGGACTGAGAGGAGTGATAGATAGAGGAGGGGGTATAAGGAACAGTGATGGCATTTTTGCTCGCCGCTTTCGGTTTTATCCGTCTTTTCCAGGTCTTTTTTCTCTGCTCAGAGCGAAGAAGATCCTCCGGTTCCTCCGGTTCAACCTGTCACGGCCCGGTCTCTCCCTCTGATGGGCATGTTTTATTTGTAGAGCAAGTCGGGCACAGAGGTAGTCGTTCACAGGTAGGACGTAGCTTCACGACGGTGATTTTCGCAGTTTCGCGGTGATACCTTTCACATCCATTTGTCTGACTTGTTAGGTTGTGGCGATTCCTTTTATGCTCGTTGAATTGAGCCATATAGTTTTTGACTTTCAGGTTTCCGTCCATTTTGGGCGTTCTTGGGTCATTTCTCTGTCGTCTTGCCGACTTTATTTATGTCATTTGAATCTACCTATAGATTCTACACTGCAAAGAAGGATCGTCGGGAGTGCGATTTCCTGTTTTCTCACCCCCACGATGCAAGGCAATTATCGATCTGCGTGGGTTCCAAACTTATCATAGCAATACAATGTGTGCTATCTCCTATAATTTCCTTTCCCTTCCCTCCCTCTCTTCTTCCCCCCCC